TTCTTTTTTCTCTCTCTCTCTCTCTCTCTCTCTCTCTCTCTCTCTCTCCTTAAGTAATCATGGATGAGAAAAGTTTGTACAATAATTTGTGACATATTACAAATATTCTGATTCTATTTTAGAGGGTATGTTGAAAATAGATATTCATATATATTTAAGACATTGATTTATTTATTCAGTACTAATTATTCTTATAATATTGAACTGTTTTATTTGTGTTATTATAACAAACTATTTTTAGGCACATGCATATAGTGTGCTAGTGGTCGATTCAATATGTGTATAATAGAGTGCATTAGTGCCTGCACACTTTTTCAGCTGTGTTTGTTCCGGAAGTATTTTTTCCACTCCATTTTTTTTTTCCATAGGGATTTTTTAAAAAGTGTTTGTTAAAATGTTATAAGCCATGTACCAAGCCAAACAGCTAAAAGGTGAATCACAACATCATAAACATAAAATTTGAAAAAATATGTATTCTGAAATTGGACAAAAGACAAAGGTACAAAACTGTATACTTAACGGCTTTAGTGAGGGAAAAAACTACAATCCCATTAAGCATTGCAAATTACTATCAAATTAAAAACTAAATTGTTTGCCGCCCATTTCTGATTGGTGGAATTTTCTGTACAGAATCATGGGTAATATAGTTTTTCACCATGAATTCAGCAGTTTTTTTTTTCTTTGTTTTTTTTATAATGCGAACAGATGGCTTCAGCAAAAGTATGTACCATTCGATCTTGAAACTCACAGTACTTCTGTATTTAAAGGTTTATGTCATCGTTAAAAGTAAATTTCCCTATGGAGAAAATGAAATGATTTTTACTTCCAGAACCTGACTGTTGCACTCTATAATGAGATATTGTTATTCTGTAACAGTATCATGAAATTTTCTAGTTATTTTTGTGGTCGATTTTGTTGCGTCTTCCATGTGTTTCAATCTAAATGCAAAGCTAAGGCCTGGCCAAAGCTAATCTCAACTATCATCACACTTGCTTTAAAAATGTATTGCACTTTAGGGTGTTAAGTGTGTTCATGTCTTCCCATGTTTAGCTGGAAGAACACATGTTGCTCTTTTACCAAGATTGGTCTGCACTAACCTGTTTGCAGCCTTTCCAATGACACAATTAAATTTGGCCAAATAAGATTGTATTTTCAGTCAGGGAACTCGAAATATGCACTTGAGAATTACTTTTCATTAAGATTTTGTTTCATGTCTATAAAGATGTTTTCACTGTCAGCTGACAGGAGGTACTTGGCAATAGGTTTAATGGGTATTTTGTGTAAATAAATGTTCCGGGTTCAGCACAAGATCCGTTGACCGCATCTGAGGCATGCAACCGATTACAAGATCATTTCGGTTTGCCTCTCAATTTTTAAAAACAAACAACCTTATTTACATTAATGCACTAACAGTGAAAGTCTATGGAGTAAAATGTACAATTTTGAAAATACAACCATGTACAGCTTCCATTATAAGTGCATTACTGCAGATTTGTTTCTTTAACAATGTCTAGATTGCGTTGGTTGAATTTTTGCTTGTGTCAAATCTGGAACAGACTTTTAAGATGTATCTGTTTAGATACCAAGAGTATCCACATGTTGCTTTAAGTAAAGGCACTTATGCAGTAATGATGAACAGAATGTATGTTCTTTTACCAAAACAAATCACTTTGTTTCCTAACCATTGCATACAGGCTGCAAATCATCAGACTTCTTCCCTTCTTTATATGTAAATATATATTTTATATGTAAATGTTTACGATAATGATTGGAAATTAGATAATTTTACAGGACTCTGTTTAATTGTGCTTCCCTTTGTGCCAAATTAGAAATGGCCTCTCTGTGCTTTGTAAACATGCCACGGCCAGTACATCTGCTGTTTACAAGTTAGCACCGCTTGATCTTACATGCTCTAATATGCTGCCCAATACAAGAACTTTATGTATAAAAAAATAACCCTCACCAGGCCGCAGAAAAGTGTGCATTTCAACTGACCCACTAAAGAAAATGACTGTCTCAAAATATCTCCATTCATTCATTTATAATGATGTTGCAGCTCTGAGAGTCTGTCTTTGCTAAGTTTGCTTTAAAATGTCAGAGATGACGCCTAGACTTTTTCCTGTATGTTTTAAATCATGTTGGATAATGTTTCTAGCTGTTTTCTGAGATTACATCTTATACAGCAAGTTGGAGAAAGGTTTTTATGACTAAGTTTGAAGTCTCATAGGTTAGATAGAGACAGTCTCAGTTTAGCTGAATGTCATTGTTAGGTTTAAACGAATAGAATTTAAAGATTGGTCTCAGTTTAGGTATGATCGTTTTACATTTTGAGCCTTGGTTGTAGGTAAGGCTGCATTATTATGACAAAAATTCAAATATTATTATGATTATTTCCCATGATATTGTAATCTCAGTTATGAATTTCATTTGATAAAATGTATTTTAAAACAGAAATACAGGTTATTACAAAAAATGTGACTGATTAACACAATGTACGTGTTTGTGATTGGTTACAATGTTTAATCGGGAAAAAAAACGTTCTAAAACAGAATGTTGTACTAGATGCTGACAAAATCCTAATCAAAAGTTTTTGGATTAATTATGCAGCCTTAGTTTTAGGGAGAAGTTGTAGATTTTAATCGATGGACTATGTTGGTGAATATTTTGAGAAATAAGTATCTTGGATTAGGGAATAGTTTTATGGACTGGTTAGGTTTGCGCTTTTGTTTTTTTTTTACTTTCATGCTCAGAGAATCCTATTTTAGAAAGGTAATATACAGTATGGAGTGTTGTTTTTATGCTTCTTACAGCATTCGTAAATGCAAAAATGAGAATTGTGATCATTTATGCACCTTTGTGTGTTTCTTTCTGTAGTGGAATTTAAAAGATATTTAGCAGAGTCTCTAAGCTACTCTTTTCCATACAGTTTTTTTCATATGACTTTTCAGCATGAACATTCTTTAGAATTTGTCCTTTTGTGTTTCATGAAAGAATGTCAGTCATATGGGTTTGGAATGACATGAGAAGGACAGATTCCACTGTTGCTTCATTTCTAATTGGTCAGTTTGATAAACAAAAGCCTACACCTGTAAATCGTACCAAAACATGCAAACTGACATTTACATTACAACAGTTGCATCGCTAAATAAGTTTAATTTAATTATTTGATTGTTGTTATTTGGATATTACTAAGATATTTACATGCAAGCACATTTTTGAATCTTTATATGTAAGAAAATAAATAAATAAATAAAAAGTTAAGCAAGGATGTAAAACATAATTTTTGGATTCCCAATAAGACGGACATGAAATAGTTGATCAAATATAATTATTTACCATAGATAATTGTTTACCATACCCTAATAAACAACCAATCTTAATGATTTATTTTCATTTCTGTCAGATTTGATCAGAGCATTAACGCCTGTGTGCTACCATTTTAGTGACTTTAGTGAACTTTTAGTGACCCACTTCTCTTATGCCCAGAGGGATGTTGCATTAGCATTTTCAACTTATGTTAACTGTATTGTGACGTGGTTTGTTTGTTTATTCTGCCTTTTTTTTTTTTTGATGTTGATGACTTGCTTTCGCCACCCTCATTCTGTGTTCACCCATAATACTCATGCTCATAACACTGCTGAAATGTCTGCTGCCATCTTTTGTGGCTGTGCTAATTTTTGCTAGTGATTTTTCTAAACATGGCTTCATGTTCTGTTTTTTTTCTGCCTGTTTTCACACACTCAATCCCGCCCCTTTCTCCTGCCAGTGAGGGCTGCCGCCGTGAGAATACCATGAAGAACGTTGGATGTCGCAAGTATGCCTTTAACTGTCTGCAGCTGAAGGCCTTTCCTAAACATTACAGACCTCCCGATGGCACTTTCGGAAAAGTGGATACTTGACAAGATGACTCTTGTTTAGCTATAAGACCGTTGGATCATTAATTATGATGTTACACAAGTCCTGCACATTCTTCTCTTCTTCAAACTAAGCTACAGTAAATCCGATCAACACATAGGTTATTTCAATATTCACCGATAGTTATTGCACATTTGCATTTCAAGCGTGAGTTTGAAGTGAAAATGTTGACTGCATTGATTTGTATTAGTAGTTGCAGACTGATCAGTTCTTTCATAAGCTCGATATCACCACACATATACATACACATAATGCTGTATTTTATCTCCTTGGTTCAATATAATGCACAATGAAGGGTTTAGTCATTTTCGCTAGATATTTCGGAATCTTGGCCCTTTATAATGCATAGTGGAGAGTTTAGACATTTATGCTGTATTTCATATTGTATTCTTGACTATCAATAGCAAACTGTAGTTTAAGCAACACCTACTGCAGCATAACAGTATTCAGTGTCATGGCTAAGAGTTGTCACATGACTCTTCTTGCCTTGTTTATCCCTCTCGTGTGGTGTTTGTACATTGAGGCTCCACCATTTTCAAGTGTCATTTTCCATCCTCCCATAGACCAGCAGAAGAACTGTTGAGAAATAAACCAGGCATTTTTTAGGTTAGCGTTGTGAGTTTTATTCATTTTTTTAAACCTCATACATTCAGACTGATCATGCATGGTCCATCCTCTCAGTTGCTTTAACTTTGAGGTTGTCCTTTATGAAAACAATGCCCTCTTCAAGTAAAAATAATGAACTTCTGGCACATTTCTTCTGTGGAGCGTAAAAAAAAATGTTAAAGGCGATGTGAGATCAGTGTATCACTGTGTTCAGCTTCCAGCAACGACTCCTAGATGATGCTGTCATTTTGTGCTGTACTTGCTTTAACAAGAGGTACATTCATAAATGGAATATAGGTACATTGAGAGAGTACAGAATAGTACTAGGCACTTGTGAAATTGACTGTGAAATGTGAATCTGTTACAGTTGTGCCAATTTTTGTTAAAAGTTATTTTGTCGTGCATATCACTGTTGAAATTTCTCATTTTTGACACTGATGTCGTTTCAATTATTGTACGTTTTTACAATGTTATTTAAGAGAGATATGCGCACAGATTTTTGGATTGATCTTGATTTGTATTTATTTCTTTTTATGGTAATAACCTTATATCTTTTATGATGCCCTCTTAGATATATTATGTCTGTCTAGAACAGAATTCTGCTGTATTAAAATGCTATCATCAATATCTGATGCCATTAAAGAGAGAATATAAGACCATTGACATCTCTTGTGTACTTTTTATCATGATAAAGCATATCTTTCTCTGTGCATGTTGGGATCTAAAACATGGTTAAATATCTACTAATACAATGCAATACTTTTTTTATAGCAATTTACATGTTGGTTGGAAAACTTGTTTTGTCAAAATGCATGGTTAATTTTAAATATCCGTCAATAGAGAAAGATGCTTCATGCTCATAATGGTGTTCTATATCTACTACTAATAATAATAATTTAGAATACTTAGTACTTTTTTTGAAAGGCCATCAATAGGGAAACCTGATTTTTGGCACCATTGGTGTAGTTTTGGCTTCTGCCAGCAAGAGGTGGACACCTTACCAGACAATCCCTGATCCCATGTTGATTGCCCACAACAAAAACGTATCTCGTCATTGCTCTCCAGCTACTGCTGCCCTCTTGTGTTCTGTAGACAACAATCAGACAGAGATACAACCATTTTATGAAACCATTGACATCTATTTCTACAGAAAATATCTGAGTATTGTATTTGTAGCTTCATTGAATAGCAAACACTTCACATTAGGGGGAAAAAGAATGATAATGGAAGTAGTAAACATACATTCAATCAAATGCACTCCTGTTGCCTGTACAACATAATCCTGCCTCTGATAAGTGTCTCAAGGGTAGATAAAGTGGCATCATCAATTTGTAGATGGAAAAAAAAAGTATATAATAAAAGCTTTCCTGTAGTAATATGTTAGAGAGACTTACTGTATAATGAAAAGGTCAAATAAATTCCTTCTGTGATATAAAACAGCATACATTGCCTGAAGTCGAGTCAGCTTAGCAATAATTAGCTAACTTTTTAAGCCAATTTTTAAGCGAAATATAAATATTCAAATATATTTTAACCACATTCATTTATTGTTACTTTTGCCATTTTACTATAACTAATTTTGAATGTTTAATATCCTGTAATATAACTTCTTTATTATTATTATTCTAGAGATACAGTATGCAGAGGTTGCTTAAAACCTTTAAAACTTTAATTGTGGCTCCATGGCGGGACAAAAACTCGACATGTTCTCACAGTTAAGGGGCCACAACTTGAATTATCCTATTTATACTCGAACTCAAACTCTCCCACAATCTATCTTTAAAGGGGTCATATGATGCGATTTCAATTTTTCCTTTCTCTTTGAAGAGTTACAAGCTCTTGGTGCATAAAGAAGATCTGTAAAGTTGCAAAGACTAAAGTCTCAAAACCAAAGAGATATTCTTTATCAAAGTTAAGACTCTGCCACACCCCCCTAAAA